AAATATAGGCACAGAGTTAAATATAGGCACAGAGTTAAATTTTTTTAACATTTTCTAATGGTGGTGTGCCTCGTGATTTTTTTCATGAAAAAAGTGTGCCTTTGCACAAAAAAGGTTGAAAAACACTGGTGTAAACTATAGTTAATACAGATTTAATGGCATATTGGATTGTTTGAACTCAGGAGAGGGAATAGAACTATATTATGATAGGAAGAAACATGAAAGCATGTAGCACAATTCAAACTATGGTTTAGCCATTAAGAACCAAGCCTAGACTTATTGCTCTTAAAGTTATGTAATAATTTGTATTTTTAAAGTAGAAACCTCTAGGTCCAGCAGTTTGTTCTTCACAGCACAGGAAAAGAAGTACATCTGTCAGCAAAATTTATCACTTTCCATTTAAAAAAAAAAAATCTAAAATAGTGAAGAAACAGTGTAACCACATGAATTCAAGGAAGTCAGTCTTGCATTTTAGCAGGAATTGCTTAGTAATATTGAAGTCACAATGCATTTATCTTTGGCATAATTTTAAATCTTTGCTGAGCACAGCAAAGGAAAGAAGCTATTTCCAAAACACATTGAATAAACTATTTCCAGATGATACAAGCCCTCTTATATTAGGCATAAATGATGTGTTACTATGCTGAATCTACTGCATTTCAGCCAGTTTTATTAAAATACCACTTTTATAAATGGTGTCCTAAGGCAGTTGTGGAAAGCATTGTTGGCAAATAATTATATGAAAATGATTTTACATATATTGTTATTTATTTTACAATTGTTTTGCCTATAATGTTTTATAGTACAGTTTTATAAAATATCTGCATATCATTAGATTTGCAGTTTACCATATTTTTCCTTAGAACAGGATTAAATGTTTCTGGGAAATATGTGCCACAGTTGATTATTTGTGGGAAAGCAGATGGAAGGGGTAAAAGTGAGAGATGTTTCAATTTTCCACTTTGTTTTTATAACATTGCTGTTCAATTCTCTATTTTGTTGTTCCAAAATTATAATTACTTTTCACTATTGTATTTTCTCTACATGAAGAAAAGCGCCTTACAGATTATAGAATAAAATAAAGTGACAGATTGGAATAGATTAAGCATCCCTGCTTGCTGTTGCCTCTTTGCTTCAATTAATATTCCTCTCTTCCCCCGGTTGCCTTTTGAAACCTAATATTCTGCTCGAATTTGTTACAAATCTTTGCATGTAATGTAACTCTGCATTTCTCTTTTCATTGCTGTTCCTAACACTGCTTGGATTACATTTTAAATATTTATTCAGCAGTACAGGTAGTCCTCAACTTAACAACTACAATTGGGACCGGAATCTTGATCATTGAGGGAAATGATTCCTTCGCTCAATGAACAGAATTCTGGCATTTGCAGTTGCAGTTGTTAAGCAATCAGTCAAGTTGTTAAGCAGAGAGACAAAAGAGCTTTCAGCTCCCCTCTGTCTGTGGAAGGGAATTGCTTCAAAACTGCAGAAACACAGCTGGGATGTTCAGGATGTGAGCTCTGTTTCTCCATCCTGTTTCTCCATCCTGCCTCTTTCCTGACTGGAGCAGTTCCCTTTCACACTGGAAAGTAGACAAACTCCAATGAGGTGCACAGATCCTGAAGATCCCAGGTTCATTCCTGCAGCCCACCGAAAGAGTTCATCTTCCCTCCACGTGGAGAAGTCCTTCAAAGGGCTGCAGTATTGGAGCCTTGATCTTCAGGATCTGACCTCTGTTTCTATAGTCCTTCGGAGAAGTTCCCCTCCTCTCTGTTTATGGAAAGAAACTTATTCGAAGGGCTGCAGTAATGGAGCTCAGATCTTTGGGAATTGAGCTCAATTCCTGTAGTCCTTTGAAGAGTGTCCCCCCCACCCAAAGAGCTGCCTGCTGGGAGGAAATCTCAGCTCCACAGCAGCACCTTACAATATTCCTTGTTCTTCCCGTTGACTTTCTGGGGAAACTGACAGAAGATTTTGTAAATGGTGATAACATGATCATAGGGTGCTTGTCCATTGGTTGTAAGTGCAAACTGATTGCCAAGCACATAGACTGCTATCACTTAGCACTGGAGGGGGTTGTTTTAGGTGGCAAAGTGCTTTACAGGCCACAAAGCACTCTTTCCAAGGCTATCATAACTCCAGGCGGTCATTAAATGACCAGCCATAACTTGAAGACTACCTGTATAAGCCTTCAGTTGCATAGCATCAAAATTTCAAAGAAAGTTTCAATGAGTAACCTTGATTGTCCTAATGTGCCAATGCTATTTCTCTGAAATACTGTATGTTCTTGACAGTTATTTATTTCTTAATGAAGCTACAGGTAGTCCTCAACTTATGACCATAATTTATGGTCTTGAGCCCAAAATTTATTGCTAAGTGAAACATTTGTTAAGTGAGTTTGCCCCATTTTACCACTTTTCTTGCCACAGTTGTTAAGTGAGTCATTGCATTCATTATGTTAGTAACATGGTTGTTAAGTGAATCTGGCTTCCCCATTGTCTTTGTTTGTCAGAAGTTTGCAAAAGGGGATCACATGATCATAGTACACTGCAAGTGTCATAAATATGAGTCAGTTGTCAAGTGTCTGAATTTTGATCATGTGACCATGGGAATGCCTCAACAATTATAAGTGTAAAAAAGGGTCATAAGTCATTTTTTTCAATGCTATTGTAACTTTGAATGGTCACTAAAAGAACTGTTGTAAGTCAAGGACTCTCTGTATTGAATTTGCTTTCTAAAAATATATGAGCAATTGTGCCTGTGCTTTCTCTTAGGATAGCCTTCCTATTGTGAGTGACCACCATGTAAAAGTGCAAGTTAAAGCCTGTGCTCTTAGCTGGATTGATAAAAAGGTATTTTTATTATATATACATACATACATACACACACACACACACACACACACACACACACACATATACACACATATATTTGTCAAATGATTATGAATTTTTTCTGTGAATAAACTTTCATGCACATTTATGCAAGAAAGTTCAATATCTTGACCATCTTATCTGTATTTTATAAATTCATATATGAATCACAAACCAGTTCTAGACATACTATTTTATAGCAAACTCAGCTCACTACAAAGCTTGAAACATAAGATTATTTGTAAGCATATAGTTAATTTTAATCCCTCACTTTGTTTCCTAATAGATAAATTGATCTGAGTTTTTAAATTTATTTACTTGTTAATCAAATTTCTATGCTATCTATCTTACTCTCTAAGTGACTATGAGTGGTTTACAAGTAAAAAAAACACCATAATTATAAGATCCTTACAAAAAATAACAAAAGTCGAAGATAGTGCCTTCAAACCATTATCCCCAGCGGTTTTATATCGTTCTTGGATCCCCTGCCAGTTGAGAGAGTCTGCAATGCTCTTCCAGAAAGTGACAGGAGGGGGGGGGGGGGGGGG